AGTCAGTTTTGGGATTTGTTCCCCATCTATGCAAAATTTTAATTATTCAAGGATGCTTTACTCGACGTCTTCGACTTCGCATCAGTCCAGAGGCTAGGTGATTTTATACTTGTGGCTCTACATTTCGCCTGGTTATGCAGAAGTGCTATTTTATACGCTTGGGAATGCTTTCCTTCCTCTATTAGAGTATTTTTTACACGAACGTATTTAGCTGAGCTCAAACACTTCTAGAATATGTTGGCGTTATGTTACAGAGGAGCACAGATTGCTTATTTTGCTTTGGTTCCGCTGAAATGCAGAACTGTAACACCAGTTTCAAATCTTTGCACGCACAGACCAAGCCCACCAAGGTGTAATAAATAGAAATAGCAAAAAGTGCTATTAGTGTGATATTGTGAAAGGACCTGACGCCCATAAAGGGACATGCGGTAGTCTGATGCAAGTGCATCTGACATGGAGGGCGACTGTTGCAAGTGATAACAGTTGTGACGGCACCACTTGTGCCGTCGCTTGGGCGTCAGGCCAGGTGGGAGAGGCGCTGGTAGCAAAATCATGTGCGAAGTCATGACATGGCCCCCGTGCATGCTGACCGTGACTGAGAATGAGACGGTAGTGCACATCAACGGTTAGGTAAGGATAACTGTTGCTATAGCTGTGGTTTTTAGGGACTCCGATTCACATTGGGCTTATCAATACACAGGGAAGGAAGTTTATTTGAACCACAAAAAATAAATAGTTTATTCTAAACGTGGTGTATTAACGGATAAAGGCGCTGAAGGCTAAACTTCGGTTAGTGTGCAGCAGTAATTGTCAAAGGTGGATCAAATACGTATTTTGACAAACTCAATAGATCAGGCATGTTTTTATTTTGTTAGGGCTACTCTGTTTTAATGATACTAGAAGGGACTTTTCGGTGTCAGCAAAAGTTCGGCAACCCAGAAAGTAGGTACAATCCTCCACTACACTGATTAAATGCCAAAAGGCGCCACTGTTTTTTCTATTTTTATTTGATATTAATATGGTATTTTAGAGGCAATTACAGAGTAATCGTTTGCCATTTAAAAGGATCTACTCCTGATTGTCACGAAAGCGGCCTCTACTGCTAAATTGCACTTCGAAATATGTTTCACTCTATTTCATGTTTGGAAGTGCCTCAAACATGGAGCCGTGAATCATCAAGTGATCTCCTATATCCCATACTAAAACCCCATTGATACATTGGTCAATGGTGAGCAATGCAGACTGGATAGCACAAGCAATGTTTAGGACCAAGAGGTGCTACAGTTGTAAAAGGAAATCTTCTCGCACTTTCTCATGGTTTCGATCAAGTTTGCCTTTATTCCATTAATGCTTCTGCTCAGATATTCCGAATTTACTTGCCACTCCCAGAATTTCCACTACTATATATATGTGTATTTATAATATATGCATTTTAATATAATGGGTATTAAATATATATACCCGGGATGAGACTTTTAGTCAGCAATGCACTTTTTCCACACCTGACCAATCAGGCCTACTGCTGGAAGTCCTGCTTCTTCATTGACGATATTGCCATTGCTTCCTACTTTGACTTGAATCCATCTAACCTTGATGGCAGCTACTGGCAGTTTTTCCTATGGCAGTGACGGTAATGGCAGACACAAATTTTGCATACGGAGGCTGCGATGATGAGGTAGGAGGCGGAAGTTGGCATGAAGGAGGAGGAAGAGAGAGGTGGGAAGAGGACGTAAAAATAATGCGTTTGAGTGGATTAAATCAGACAGGGTCAGAAGCATACTGTAGTAGCTAATGTCTGCGCCTCTCTTGACGTTGTCGTGGTAGCTGTCACTTTCACTGCACAATTCCAGTAATGAAACATGCAGAAATGCGGGACTTGGAAAACTAAGTACCGCTTAAGTGTACTTTTAGTCTATTTATCCCATTTGTAAGTCTTTGTATCCAAATCATCATGGCTAACTGTCTACAGAGCTAGTCTTGTGCACGCCTGCAAATATGAGCCAGTGAGAGTTTTCATGGATCCCAGCAAAGCTGACGATAGCCTGTCAGCGTTTCAAACCCCTTTCATCCATACATTTTCTTCACACTTCCGACTTGCCTTGCTGGTGAAAATGGGTTTAAACATTCTTTCCTGATAAGGACGTATTCGAAGACAGGATGAACAAGAGGCCGCTACGACAGCAATGGCAATTTACGTAAATATATGTGGGTTGACTAAATTCATGCCGGTTCTCTTCAGTTAATACAGACTCTGCCATATTCTTGCCAGTATCGTACTCTACCTACATTGGGAGGTTATGCAATTTTTCTAACTTTTTCGCGTATATTTTTATCAGTGGGCTAGATTAGGTTGAATTCGACTATAACGAATGGGCCATTATCCAGTTCTATAGTGCATTAAATTGACACCTGATCAGTCTCTGCAGATATGAAGGTGCAGCTAACATCAGCTCTCGACTTGATGGGGAAGCAGAACAATCAAGTAGGGTAAGCAAGATTTTTTCAATATTTCTCACTTGGTGGCATACGTTTATTCAACACAAAAATACTCCGTCTGATGTGTGATGAAAAGTAAGACAGCCATAAGGTAAGCGGTGGTAAAGGAAGCGGATTATTGTGAGGGGTTGGAAATGGCAGTTATAAGAAGGCAGAATCAGCGAAATGACATGAAGACCTCTTGTTTCGACACCAGTGTCACAATTGTAGCCATCCCACCTTGAGAGCAGTCACAAAGTGCACCTCGGGGATGGCTTTTGTTGGCGAAGTCTCGATGGCAGCCCTTGGAGCTAACAAACCTAAAGAACACTTTGCGTTTGCTCTTTACTGAGGCTCTATTAACCTTCTTTTCCTCAATGCTTTATTTAAAGAGGAGACATGGAAAGGTTTCGTTATATCGTATCCTTATGTAGGCCTTTCGTTGTTGACACTTGTGTCTCATGTCAAAATATTGGGTTTTGAAAACCCTCAAATTGATTGTGCGTAATCGCCTCAAAGTAGGCCATTTGCGGTCCGCTGTCTCAAAGTAATTATACTTGGTTGTAAAATAGATACTTTATTCATCAACCTAACACTCTAAGCAATTATCGACAATGGTTCTTATAAGTTAAAAAATTCAGCAGTTACTTCTAATGGTCATTCGAGGAAGAGAGTCTTGTAATGAACTATATGTGATCAGACCTACCTTTGCAGGAACGAAGTGTAGGTGATGCAATTGTGGGAGGTATTTTACACCTCACTAACACTCCGATACCCACCACGAGTTAATCTCGCCTCCTTAATTCGCAGAAACAGTGCCTCAGGTGTCAGCATCTCAGAACTACAAAACTACGTAATTGCATCTAGCATCTAGGTAGAATAAGAGCGTAAACTCCCATTTCGAGATGTAGAGATTTAAATATGCTCATAAAACCACAGGATGCAGTACCTTGCACATTGATTGATGTAAATAAGCAGATTTCATCCAACTGAATGAGTAACCTTTGAAGTTGGATTAGCCGAAAGTATTAATGGTGAGTACATGAAAATTGTAGACTCGGGGGATGAATGATATTGTTAGGCGGGGGAGCTTGCATAATAAGCAAGGTTTTAAACAAAACATTAAGATAATACAATTCTCTTCTACCTGCATATTTATGCCAAATTTTTCTTATGCTGCATTGTGGGTGATACAGTTTAGTTCATCTCACTCGGTGAGAATTAAGGTTAATGGAGGCAAGATTTCGTATGTTTACCTGTGGATTTAACCACGTGTTACTTTTTATCGGCAGGAAGTAATTTTACTTGGCGGCTTGGTCCATAGAAGGGGATAATTATCTTCCAACCCTTCTGCACAGCAGCTAGTAATATATTCTTCCAGACCACGCTTGTTTGTTGCGACTTGGCAAAGATCCAAAGGATTAAAATTGATCACACTCTTGTTGCAAAAATAGGTACTCAACATGGTTCATGTCCCTCCAAGGTCTAGTTTATAAGCACCAAACTCCAAATCCAACACTAGACAAAAGTGAAACATTTGGACAGCCTAGAACCTGTCTTATTCGCCCCATTGTGACTTGAGATACGGAGAGGCATGTGATGGAATGCGAAATTAGAACTAATGTAATTTTTCATCTGCAGATAAATTCTGCAAAAACATGGACTATTTCTTTGGTTGCATGCCAAAAGTTTTCTTTTCGAGGTCATTGTAAAGTTGAATTCATCTTTGCTGACGCAGAAGTGCAAAGGCACCCAGTTAGGTTCATTTTTGGTGTGGCTAGACAACCACATAGTTTAGCTTGAACATGATTATTTTTTGGCCGGTCAAAAGTAACTTATTTTGACAACACTTGCAACTCCAGTATTGACCACAAATCTCATGGAACAGTCTGTATTCTTGGTCTAAAATGCTCCAGGCACATCAGCAATCACCCATCAACACCATTTGTGTTTAAACAAGAACTAATTTACTTAAGGAACTCTAGCCGCCCAGCTCAGTTTGCGCCCTTCTAAGTGATGTAGGCATTGATGGGGTAGTGGTGCGTAATGGGCAACGCCATGGAGGAATGACGTTTGCTTGTTTTGGTAACTAAGTCGTCAATTACTTCTGATCTCTGTTTCCATCACTATCATTGCCTCATTGGGATCGCAAGAACTAAAAACAGTTGCGAGTTCCTACTTAAATAGACTTGCTGCCCGATTTGGCCTTTTAATCCTGCCTTATGTTGAGGCTACGGAGATTCGAGTGCAGTTCTGACATAAGTTCTCAGGTAACACCACAGAAGTCAGTATTCTAATGTAATGAGTTGACGAAATTACAAGGATTTAAAAAACCTTAGTTGTTCTGATCACAGCGGTGCCTATTGTCTCAAGGAAAGCAGACAATGCCCAGTGGCAGTGCTTCTTAGGAATATGAGAGAAGTTGTAGTACATTTAATTCCCATTCCTAATCCCAAAATTCAGTTAATAGTGGCTCCTTAACTACTTTTCTTCTTAAGCCATAACGCATGCTAAATGATGGCTTGGGTAGCATTAGCCCAGCTTTAAAAGCTGTTTGTGGGATAAAGCGTAGTTGACTATGCCAATTTTGCACACTATTTCCTTCTATTGGTAGACTAATGAACAAAGCTCTCTTGCCTAACCCCATGGACCAATCAAAAAGATACGAGTGGCTGTGGAATTGGTGTCAGCACTAGTCGTGTTATTCGACGGCAGGCCCTAGTAGCATTTTAGCGGGTGCGTAATTTTGTTTGTAAGTGAAACAAGATTATACAATTTTGGATCTCAGATCGTGTTAACCTCCGATTTTCCAGAAAGAGTCGAAAGCGGTCACATTTTGCGATTAAATTTTCTCAATATTTTTGATGTGTGAGCAAATTATGAATGTTGAGGAATACCTGTTACTTAGAAGGCAGAAACACTTACCAATAATGTGCAAGTCGCATTCTTTTATCCTGAACTTAATTGGATAATATGATAACTAGCATTATTATAAGTGTATTTTCACCACCAACATACAAGATTAAGTAATTTAATATGAAATCTAACTCTGGCCTCTTCGTATTAAATCTTCCGACGATGGTTCACATTGAAAGTCAAATAGGCTAGAGTTATTGTATCAAAAACACACAAGCCAATTATAACAACATGGACAGGCTCTTCAAGTGGTGGACGATTCCGTCCATTTTAGACCATATTTGAGGTGCTTTCCTCCCACAGTGCAACCACGCACAGATGTGCTGTCATGAATTGTGTTTTGGAATTATGGCAACTAATGAAATGTAAGCAAAAATACAGGCACATTTGGGTCACCCATAAACATTGAAAAGGGATGTATCATCAGTGAACTCACGCACATGCCAAAATGACGGGTTTGTTTGTGCATCCCTCAACACCCAGTTTAACACTAAGAATTGCTTTAACAAGGAAAACAGCTAACATAGATATGATTCAGTAAAGAATTGTAGAAGGAGGGAAATTAAGGGATAGACCCTTCTACGTCCATCACTGAATCTGGATTTCCATTATGCTTCTTACATTAATTGTTTTATCACCATACTAATACCGCTTGAGTAAAAAGCCCTCATTTACTTATCAGTGTGGTAGAACAGAGAAAGAGACACAGAATTTCGCCTCAGAACACAAAGGCATTTAATCTTATTTCTAGGGATAATTTTGGTCTACTCGCGTGGAAGCACAGTTTCGTCCTCCTTGTCAAATTCATTAAGATGATTTGATGGTGGCGCACGTGGCGGTGTTTGTCAAGGAATTAGAACAAAATCCCATAAAAATATGTGCACCAAACAAGGTGCAACTGACGCTGACATAACACACCAATGCTGCACTATCACTCTAAAAATATGCATAAACTCGTGTTTTATACCATGCAACCTGTGTGTAGCAGCAACTTGTCTCAGGAAAACCACCATATGACTCCCAATAATGGCAACCTGATCTGCCAGAATTCGAACCGTATCTTAATCTTACTTTGGAGGCAGCATCATGGTGCTGATTACGATGTAATATCGACTGATTTGGGTTGGATATGCAGGTGTCGTAGTGCCACATCCTGCTTTTCCAAGAGCTCCATCGGCCTTGGTTAAACACTGGAATGAGTGTAGATTGTGGCTGGAGACCATGTCAAAAATTAGTTGCAGTTATTACTACCTTACAAAAACACCATTCCCGCATGATCTTAAAGGCTCCTCGTATGCACTTTCAGCTATTTCATATTCTTTCTGTAAGAAGATTACAGAGCACAAGCCATGGCTTATTGGGATGCTTGTATAGGCTTTCAACTAAAATGGGTATAGAGAATTCACAGTGTGGTTAGAATATCTAGAGTGAATTAAAGCAAAACCATTGAGGATTGCCTTTTGATGATGCTGCATCAGCCAACAAGAGTAATACATTACGGCTTCTGGTTCGTCTCACATATCTTACTCATGTCGGACCTAATTACTGCCGCAACAGCATCTGAATTTCACTAAGTTTAGTGCAGTTGGATTCATTACGAACGGCTAGGCTTT